TCGAAAACAGTACGTACAATTCACAAATAATAATGTGCCAATTTTTAAATGACATAACAGTGAATACAATATTAAACAGTGAATCGTACTTACGGGAAACACGAAACATAGTCTAATCTTATTATGTGGTGAGTGTGTTAAATATAGAAATACATTGAGACTAGCGCTATACTACAGACTACTCATAAATGTAATCTTTAATTTTAGAAAAAATGAATAATTTTTATAATCTTATTAAATCTAATAGAATAATAAAATAGACCTAAATTAATAAGTTTAGAAGTTAATTTAAAATTACTTATATTTAATCAGTGTTTATAAAAAAAATATAATACATAATCTAAATCATAAACTATTTTTAATAAAGTGATTATACATACAAATTTTAAAATAAAGCTGTATCATTATAAATTAAAATTATTAATTATCAAACAGATGAATCAAATCCAATTATAAAAGATACTTAATACAAGAATATAGGTACAGATTATTTTCCTTCATATTGAAATGTTAATAATGTATATATAGGTATTGACGTATGGAACAATAATTAATAGGTAGCTTTTATTATAATATACCTACAGAATAATATTCATATAATATTTAATAGGCATATAGAAAGCTAATTTGGGTAGAATGATTTACCATTTCCCTTAACATATATTTTTGTTTATAACTTTAAAGTTATTAAATCTATGTAAATTAAAACTAGATTATAATTTTAGTTTTTACCTTTAAATTTTGTAAAAGATCAATTCACTTAAGCTAATAACATAAAATTTACTCTAAACGAAAATACACTAGTTTTTACATTTATAAGACGGAAACGACGCATACGAATATGTCTTCTTAACGTATTTATAAAAATATTAACTTACACCAGAAGAAAACTAAAAAGATTTTTTTTTTTTTTGTAAATAGACCAAAATAATAGATGAATTATTGCTTTCTCAAAATTTTCGTAGACATATAATACAATAATTCGATCAAAAAAATTGTTTCAAAAAAAAGTTAGGTATAAAATACTGTCAGGGTTAAAATAACCTAACCCACAGCCTGACTACAGATATATGCGACCTGCATTGTATCATATATATATATATTATAGACATTTTTATCAGTAATGACGTATCGGAAGTATTAAAGAAATACATTTCGGTCAAATAATATCAATTTATAAATACCTAGTTATAAAACTTCTAACTAAACGACTATGATAGCTATGAAGTATAAGATAAACATTAAGCACATAGGCCTAATAACAGGTTAAACCAATTATTTAAATATGTTTAACATGAAAGGATATTTTTATTTTTACTTTTTGTTTTGTTTGCTGATATATTTTATCACAATTTAAATTCAATTTAATTAAATATTCGCGATAATAATATATATTATGCACTATTGCATGTGTATATGTGTATATTGTATACAGATAAGTATGCAAAATTTTCAAATCTTTAAAATATTTGAAGTACTTACCTACACACGTACAGTTAAAACTACAATTCATAAGAAAAATCTAATTTTTTCATAGTGTTTAAAAAAAAAAAAAATGACAATACCTTATTTTTATTTTATTTTATTTTGAGAAGCAAAATACAATTTTAAAAATGCAGATATGCTTGTATATAAATCTTAAATATTAAACAAATACAAATAGTACCCGCAATATAAACAATAAACATTCCGATCATATAATGTTAAATACTTATTAAGTTATAATTACCTCATAAATATACCTGTAATTCATTTAGCTTTTGTACTTAAAAATGTATACAAAATTAAACAACAATAATAATTATTTATAGATATTAAAAAAATTCAACCAAATAAATCACTAAGATAAAATAAATGTAATTCTGTTGAAACTTGCAGCAAAGTTCTTTAAATGAATAAAAATGAATGTACATAGGTATAACTGTACAAGTTCAATAAATCAGAATTCATCTATGTATCCGTTACGATGTATCTATTTAATAGCTATATGAGCTTAAAGTTGTACAATATAGTATAATAAAATTATCGTCATTTATAAATATGAAAAGTTTGTGTATTTTATAAAATGAGCTTTGGTTTTAAAAGAATAAAAATAATAGACCAACGGACATATCCTCATAATTATTGAAGTATAAACGACATTAATACGCGTTTTTATGTCTAAATACTCGTTATGTTGTATATTATTCGTATAAAACGCCTATTCTTTCTATAATCTTAATCAATAACCCTTCCACCACTCCTATTCCACCAAACATTGTGTACGAGTATCAGTTATATATTAATATGAAGCGTTAAATATTATTTAAAATAACTAATCAAAAAAATTATAAATTAAGGAGTTTTGAATTAAAGTTTAAAACTTAAATCGACAAATATTTCATCAAATACATTAATAGTAATGTCCCTTAAATTACAATTAATAGACAATTTAAATTATCAACTGTTAATACGTTGATAAACAAATAATAATAACAACTGGTGTATTTAAACTAACTCTATTCTTAAATATTAAAAGATAATTTCTGAGTTATGACCATAAATCTAATAAATCCATAAACCATTGATTCACTATTAAATGATAAATCATAGACTGTAATAATATTAATATTTTAGAAATATTGTCAAAATAAATTATAAAATAATATGCTTTCCTTTGATATTTTGATAACTTAATATTATTTATATTCACATGTTAAACTGAAACAATTATCAATATAGATTAATACTTAGGAACACATTCAAATTATGTTGCCAATGGTAACGAAAATGAGAATATCGCTATATATAATATATTAATATATATGTCACTGATCTATTTAAATATAAATGAAAAATGTATATATGTAACTAAAATCTAAATATATCTAAGAACATTATATAATAATCTAGTCTACTCGTATAACACATACAAATTCGGCTCGATAAAAGAAAAATAACTTAATCATCATTCTTTATATATTCTTTAATGACAGCTGTTATTATTATACTATTAAAATTAAGTATACAATTATTTTGTAGTCGTCTATCTCATAAAATCCACAGTTATTACGTCTTGTACCTATAAACTTTCTATTCAAATTTTAATGACAATACTCGTATAATATTTCAATTTACACCGCATGTATATAATTTGGATTATTTTATAAATTGTTTATTCATTAACAGCAACTATTATTTTAATTCATAAAATACCTAAGTATGAATAACTCCCAATTCAAACATCGTGTATGGACGTGAGCCTACAGATATCCGATAACCAGCAATCTTATACAAATAATAAATTCATCATAATATTAAAGTTAAACACTTGACATGATAATTTTAATGAAAACAACTTACAACGAAGAGTTAATTTTAAAACAAAATAAAAATAATATACTTTTCAAAGTATACATTTGAAATCAATGGATGGCAAATAATAAAATAAATAATTTCAAAAACAAATTTGAATTTTTCTGTATTTGTCCTTTTTATGATTCAGTTTTGAAATTTAATTACGACATTACCATTTAAATTGCACGTGTGACAATTACTGTTTTATCATATTATATATATATATATAAATATAAATTAAATGCACGTGAATCGAATTCGTTCATATTATTTATTTTTATTTTTGTAAGTCTATTATAGTTAATTTTGATCCCAACCACGTTACAAAATTAACAGAATATCTGAAATCGTGTTTATAGAGAATAAATAACATGTACTTTTTTAATCTATCTTAACAATTTCACTGTTTTATGATCATATACGTACTCATACGTGATGCACGTCAAACTTTCGATTAATAGCCTTTGTATTTTACTTAACATACATAATATTCAAAAAATTTCCAGATTATTTATTAATTATATCTAAGGAATCTCCCATACCAATAATACTTTTAAAAACTGAAGTAATGTATTATGATACTCAGGGACATATAACTATACCGAGTTTCTGAGTACTATGGTTGTTTTGGTTAAATTTGCAGCAGTTAGTGTTTTGCCGTCTAAAAAATTTAACATATCTTTACTCCAGAATCTTAATAGATGGGTTGTATTTAACGTATAAACTTAAGACATTTTAAATAAATACAAAGAATATATTATTGAAAAATCATTATAGTAAATACAAATATTTGCCCTACTGCAATACTTTAGAGGTTTTACGTTACGATATTACTTACCTACGCTTATTAACTTAATTGAACTCGATTTCTATGATATGATAAATATATACGTACAACGACAATTTCTGTAATGGTTCGATTATAATAAGTGATTATTAATGCATTATAATCCTAATGTTATATACATAATTAAAATAATAATAATTGAGACATTAATTCTTATCTATCAGCTGTGTACAATATAGGTACCTATAATATTATAATGGCCACTCTCTACTTGAAAAAAACATAGTTTTAAATATTGGATTCAAGTATTCACGTCATTAAAGCTTTAGGACAACAAAAAAGTTATAAAGTATAAACAAAATACAGCTAAAAATAATCTAACTTTTCTATTATTAGAACATATAATAAATAAACTTTGAGAGGTCAATAATTACTTTATAGTTGTATATTATTTTGTTTGTATTCTGATATATAAGTATTCAAAACAATAAATTGGTAATCAATAAAACATTACTCATTTAATATGTTAATTGAAGCTTTAAAATGTATGCATGTTAGTACTTAAATATACAATTACAACACGTGTGAAATCATCAAAATAAAAAACATTTTCCAATAAATAAAAATTTAAAAAAATATATTTAGTAAATAAGTGAAGCATTTGAACATGCACTACTGTGATACTTATACAAATGCCAATAAATTATACACGCATAAACTATTAATTTCCACTAATAATTAACCAGTATTTCTCAGGGACTTGTATAAACTATATTTTATGATAGGTGCTACCGACTAGGTAAGTTATTCGTAGCTTTCTACTAATAGTTTTTGAAAAATAAATTTAAAGTTTAATAAATTAAAAACGAATACTCACTCTTGACTGAAAAACGCACAGCCTTGGACTACCAGAAGAACTGTCCATTTCGGTACACGAGGGCGTCAGGGACCACACTTTCCGCCAACAGTTATCCATCGCGAACGGATCAGCCGAGCATATAGACCAGAACAAAGAAAATCCAAAGATCACCAACGCGGTAGAAGCTGATGCCATTTTCTAGTTATATATATATATATTATATATTATGTTAGTAGGGAGGCGATATAAGATTTTATTCTTTTAGAAAACGTTTGAAGTATTAAACTTAATACAGACGTGCAGAGCGAACAATGAAATTCAAAACGCCAAAACGGTTAAATAATAATACGATTTTGAATGATAAGAAACAACGTTTATATATGTAATTAGATTTAACGACTATGTAAATATATATATTTATATAAATTATACAGTTTTCGAAAAGAACCGAATTGAGTAGAAATGCCAGTAATAATATGTATACTTAATCCGACGGTGATGAATTAATATTATTATTGAGATTATGTTATTGTTTAAAATCGGATCGTTTTGTGCGCCGTCTGTTTCCCTGGTGACTAGCCATAACCAACTGAGTGCATGCGTTGATGCATGCGTATAATATGTCTGTAAGTAGTTACGACGATGGCAGTGGCGTACAGGCAAGAGGAGGCAACGAACCATCGGTGTTCCAAAGTCCTGATAACAGTATTATGTTAAATCAAACACACATAATATTAAAGTATATTATAAAAAGTAACAATATTTTTAACGCATGACATAATAATAATAAAATTATCATTAACTATATTAACAAATAGGTAACGACGCCCATTAAAAAGATACTATCCTTGCATGTGTTGTATCCGTGATTATGTGTTAAAACGTAGATACAACATATCAAATTTACGCGTCACAGTATCAATTTTATATTTTAAGCTTCAGTATTAAAGTGAGTTCATTTGCGAGTTGCAATCAAAGTTAAAGCTAACAACATTTATCTTTGAATTATAAATTCTTACGATATTTTAATATTTTAGTTTTTACGCGAGTTATGAGTGTTCTAAAATTGTATTTTCACATATTATTCATAACTCGCTAAAATTCAAAATCCAAAAATTCAACACAAATAATTTCTTCTTACCTTTAACTTTTAAGATTGATAATACGTCAAATCAATCTAACATTATAAAGATAACAACACACACAGTTTATTGGTTCTGCTGAACATAAATTTGGCATATGTAAATATGTTATACGTAAACGTAGATGAAGGAGATAACATATAATGACGAGTAAAGCATATTGAAAGCAGTGATTATATTCCGTCGCTATCTAACACGATTTTAAGTGTTTACTCGGGTCAAAAAAAATGAAAATATGTCAGAAAATTTTGGATTAACTTCACGATGAATCAAATTCGTTTTCAGACTATATAATGATTAAATGCACATAAAATATATTGGTGTACTTCTATGTGAACGACTGATAGACAGAGGCAGCATATCAAAGCGAAAAGCGATGGCTATCAAGCGAATATACTGTATACATTATATATAGCGGTCAATGCATATTAAGGAAAGAGGAGAAAACCATTCTATCGATTATAATTCTACAATATAATAAATAATAATATCATATACCTACATATATGTGTAATATATTGTATATACGAGTACGACCTACCGAATTCCTGCAAAAGCATTATTTTATATTTTATTTACGATGCGTATTGATAATAATTATTTTATATTAGTTAAACGTTTTTGTGGGTGATTTTTTTTCTTTGTATCAATCCTAGGCATTTGTTCAAATATTTACAAATTTAAATAAAAATAAATCATAACATTAAAATAGATACTATGTCTGAAGTCAAAAATCCAACCAACCACACCGTCGCCCGCAGTGAGTTGTTCAATGCTGTGTGTATATAAATATAAATATATACATATAATATTACCTATGTTATTCAGGTAGGCCTATAATAGCGTTTTTATATTTTTTGAAATATCCGGTTTTATTTTTTTTTTTCAACTTGTGAGATGCTTACATATACATTATATAGCTATATATATGTATGCAGAGACTAGAGTACAAAATCTGATAATACGCATTCCCAAGGCACGGCGCCGCTCGTAATATTATATTATATATTTATATGTATGTATAATACTGTAATAGGTATCCATTTATTCAGTTGCATACTATATAGTATAACAAGCTGTTGCAGTAACGATGATCCGACGTGTATTATTCGGTACACTTGCCGATAAGAATATATTATTATTATACGCACTTCGCCCTGTTGTCGGACGACAACAGTGTAAGAATTATGCGGATTGCTGAATGACCATAATAATAAATTATACGTGAATTTAATTGATAAATTATTCAATTATCTATAATAAAATAATCGCAAAGAAAACATTTAAAAAAATATAATATTCCTCGCACTTTATGTTCGATATAATAGCAATACAATAATATATTATGCATTATGTAATACACTAATACCTTCTTGAGTAGTAGTACCTAAAGTGTCTTATAATACATTTTTCTAGGGGGAAAGTAATATTGATATTATTCCAGACATATTAAGTACTTGGAAAATAACGAATATATTTTCACACAATAAAATTATGATAGTTAAAAAATGTACACATGATTATTAATTTACGTGATGTAAACGCTCACACTTATTATTTTTAAACATATTTATTACATCCTCTAAATGCGAGAAGTGATGCCACTGTAGTTTTCGACAAAGTATTAAAATCCTAAATACTATTCCTTTATTTTTTTGGCTCACCTAGTATCTACTACACAGGCTTTTAGTGGACAAATATTTTGTGTACATTGTCGTGACTTTTTAGTTTTTAATGACGTTTGTTCTTTAATATTTTTAAAAGCCTTATCACAACTCATAATTAACCAGTTACCGATAACTGAACTTAATATATAGGCAATTGAATTATTCCCCAAATTATCTTATGACATTATTATAATCTATTATTACAATACTCGACGAGTTATCGTATAATTTTAATTTTTTATAATAGTTTTAAATCTGTTTTCATTACAAACCTATATTTTTAATTTTTATTTAACAATATTTTATATTCTATCAGTAGGTACATTTTAATGTATTAATCCGATAAATCAAAACATAACTAGATAATTATTGTTCTAAGTTGGTCATGACTATCTCATTAGCTTTACTACAAGTAGTTATGTTATATACTACCACAGACATTATCAAATCAATGTAACACAAAAGCACGTTTTATAAAAAAATTTTTTTTTTTTTCAAAAATGATTCGATTGTAACATGCAATGAATAACTACATCAATATACTTACAATATATTAATAAATATAGGTATGCGCAATATACCTTATAACTCGTACATTTTTGTCCCGTAGAAATGATTTAATAACGCTTCTACTAATTAATGTCATAAAATAATAATTAGTTTATGCAGTGCAAACGTGCAATAGTAACAAACAAAGAAAGTATAATTTATTTAATATCCTCCTATAAATAACCTTTTATTACATTTTCATGTCTTAAGTAAGAAAGTTAAAATATTATGAATTTTTAACTACAAAATAATTTGTTAATCTCCGTGATTGTAATGAATTTCGTCAAAATGTCGTTAACTTAAATGCTGATAAAAGAAAACTATGTATCTTTAATTTTTTTTTTTTATATCTATATTTACAACTTTTAAAGAACCTTGTACAGATTACTGTAACTAAATTGCAAATTCTAAGTATCTATAAATATTCTCTGAAGAGGCATGCAGAAAATTAAACAATTCAAGACAAGCCCCGTTATAAGTTTATTTATAAATTTAATATTTTAATATTTTTTTTAAACTTTTTTTTTATAGTCACGTCATATTTCACATATTTTTTCTATTCAAATGCCATTGCGATTTGAGGCCAATTGCCACAATAGTACCTATAGTGGTGTAGTAGGGCGTACACCAATATCTTTATTTTTCTGTTAATGCATATAAGGATAGAAAAATAAAATAATATATGATATGCGGGTATACGAATATATCTTTTCTATAGATCATTTTAATAAATTAATTCCTAAACAGTGATCTTAAAGAAAAAAAAAATATATTTTATTTTGTATTTTGATATTTCTCCATAATCCTATTTCTTGTTTTTATTAATTAATAATTTGTATAATTTAAACTTAAAAACTTATATAACTACTTTATTAAAACTTAAAGAATATTAATTAATTACTTACTATTATTTATTTCTAAGTAACATAATATAATCATAAAGAATTTAAAAGCATAATAAATAATAATATATTTCTAGAATCTAGGAGTATAGTATTGTAAAAGCTCAAATTTGAGACAGGGTAGTAATATAATCTACTTATATTATTATAAATGTGAAGACAATAATTATATATTGGGGGGGAATTAAACCCCCTTCTTTAGCTAATTATCATATTTAAATGTAGTTATACTTCGGTAATAACGAGAAAAATAAAATGAGAGGAATGGCTTTGAAAGATGTATGTCTGCACTTAAAAGTGCTGAAAAATACAATCACTAACCAGATACCATTATTAAACTCACGTTATTACCTTCCTCCTGATCTCCGGAAGGTTCTCAAGGTCGTGTACTCGAGAATTTGATCAAGTACACCGCTGTAATGTAAATTTAATATATAAAGTATAAACTATAATAATAACAAGTAGTATATTATAATCATGTACATTACCTGATACGCACCAGTGAATATATTATGATTATTAGAAATAAGTAAGATAACACAAATACAACTCTCTGAACACTTGAGCCCAAATAAAAAACAACACTGATTTAGCTATTTGAAAAGAAAAGTCCAGTTGTCGCTCGCAGAATCCTGTGTTGAGAGATGTTGCTCGAATAATAGGTGCGCATGGGTCTGATATGTATGCATTGACGAAAGAGACAATATGGTAAATCCAGCCAAAGAGGCTGACAGCTTCATCAAAAATTTCTGCGTTCTCAGGTCTAGCTTTATTCTTGGAAGTAGAGACCCTTGTTCGGTCTTCCCTAGTTTCTAGCGGCATACAAGAAAGTCACACGCGTCTCAACACGTGTCAATTTCTATGCAATTCGTCCCTTTCATCAGTGATTAAAGAGTTATAATGAATTATCTGCGTGCGACAACCTAACGTTATTTATTTATTTATATTTAACTTATATATATATATAATAATATGTCAGCATATCATTACACTTCCTAAAAAAATTACGAAAATTAACGATTTATAAACGAAATATACCTTCTCGCATCGATCCTACTTCAAAATTGCTTACATAAAAAAATAAAATAATAAATAATAACTAATGAGTAATGTCTATCTACAATCAAAAAATGAAACATTTTTTTTTAATTTAAAATTTTTGAAATCATTATATAAACTGTCCAAGGATATATCATAAAATTTTAAAATTAAGTTACTTAACAACATTTTTATGACATAGAAAAATTGGCAAAAGTTTGAAAATAATATGCTTTAATTTTTTACTTATTTATCTTTTCTATTAGAGAAATAAATCTAATTAATATTATTGAATAATTAAAAAAC